AAAAAAAGAAAAAAAAACACAGCACACAGAACGAGCAAAGAAGAAAATCCCTATGCTTTTTCTACACATCTCACCTCAATCAAGCACACCTTGGTCTTATCTACCCCACTTTTCCGCGCCGCCTCGCCTAGCTGAAGCCTCTCTCTTCACCAAGCATGGATGATAGAACCTCAGCTCCCAACACCTACTTTATACACTCCCTCAGGCACTATACATCAATTATACATAAAAAAAAAGATATACACGTGGCAAAATTGTATATATTTGTTTATTCCTGTCCTTTTTTCTTATTTTATACAGTAGAAAAAAGTTCCGAATGGAAAAAAATTGGTTTAGCACCGTACCATTTTTTTTTTTTTGCCTCTTTGCATGGTTCACTACAAACATTACATGTTCGCTCTCATTCTTCTCGTCATTCGCGCTATGTGCGGCGATGTGTCAGGGTGGGCGTCTATCCGCCATCCCTGGTAGGTCTGAAACAAGTCTGCGCCATGTTCTACCAAGGCCTCCACAAGCGACGCATCTTCAAGTGACATAAATATGGGAGGACACCCATCACTTTGACGCGGCTGGTTGGGGTCTGCGCCGCAGTCAAGCAGGCACTTCGCAGCCTTGACATTTTCCCTTGAGCATGCGTATTGAAGCGGCGTCATGCCCCACTTGATGATCTTCGACACCCCAATCTTTCCGTCCGTGATAAGGCGTTTAATAGTGTCTACATCCTCCTCATCCAGCGCAATTTGCATTTCCTCCTCTGCCCTGGTTAACGGGGAGTCATCCACAGCATTATTTAGTTCCACCGAGCGGTAAAACCACATACCAGACAACTTTTCATCTTCGCTTAGGTCGGTTTCACTGTCGCTATCACGACCGGCCTCGCGACGTCGCTCGCGCTTTAACGCCGCAATTTCCAGGTATTTGGCATCCGAGGGAAGTTTAACGGACCATTTCGAGGAGTGATCACCAATGCGCCTTGCAATGATGGAATTTTTGAGGATGACAGGTGGAAAAGGCAACTTTGCGGTTCCCTCAATATCAAAGGCTTTATCAACGCAAAACAAGCACCGAAAAAACTCTCGCCGGGGGTACTTCTTCGGTTCTGGCTTCAGAAGAAAAACCCTAAGTGCAATGTCGCGAAAGAGGCTCTGCTCAGCCTCCTCACAGTGAGTGATAAGCACCCAGTCCCCGTTTTGGGTTCCCACATCGACGTAGTCCATGGCATTTTGAATGCTTTTCATAAGCACGAGGTCAAAGTGCCACACGACGGATTGCACCTCCTTGGCAATTTTGCACAGAGAAAGGAAGGGGTCACCATCTTCGTAGAAAAAAATAACCGGGGTGCGGCAGTCCGCATTCCTCATGGCCCGACAAACGTGCTCCAAGGGAACAAAGTCGGGAGGAATTTCCACCACACCACCTTGAACCATCAGATGTGTATGATAGCTTATTTCCCTATATATATATATATATATATATATATATATATATAT